GCCTGGAGGATATCTGTCCACATATGCTGGTCAAAGATGGAGAAGCAGTAGAAGTGTTTCTCTTCTGCTACCAGTGAATAAGCCAGATCTTTAGCTTTTATCTTGCTGGGAAGAGATGCATTTCTATATTTGGAGTGGATCCAAGTTTTTTAGGGCCTGAGCTTTTGCAATTCCGGAGGCCCTTTCCAAGAAAAAGAATACAAAATTATGACTACAGTATTAAGTATGCACGTGAATATTTGTTTGGAATGAGAAAAGACATCAAGACAAATTATTGAAGACAGAGATTCAGATCCCTCTTTTCTGAGATATCCCAGGCAATTTTTCAGAAATGCTTATGCAGAAATTCTTCTTGATTGCAAACTGCTTCCTCTCCTTATCTAGAGCAGACTACAACTCCTAGCAACTCCCATCTCTCAGAGGAGCCCCTGCAAGTGAGGGGCCCTGAAACTTAAGCTCCATTAACTTCAAAATAAATCCTCCTTCCCTCCTTCTCTCCTTATAGGGCTTGGTGCTAATCTTTTTTTTTTTTTTTTAAGACAGCTCAGGCTGGAGTGCAGTAGCAGGATCTCAGCTCACTGCAGCCTCGACCTCCCAGGCTCAAGCCATCCTCCTGCCTCAAAACCCTCCTCCGCCCACCCCCTTGAGTAGCTGGGATTACAGGCTAGAGCCATCGTGCCCAGCCTTGCTGCTAATGTTTGCTTCACTGGCCTTTGCTGTAGGCTAGCTCCCACGAATATGTACAAGGCCAGTTGTTTAACTGATTTAGCTAGGCAGCAGTCTCTTTTTCTTTTTAATTAAAAAGAAACATTCTTTTTAAATGTAGAGATGGAGTTTGGCTACAGCCTAGGCTGGTCTTGAGCTCCCGGGCTCAAGCAATCCTCCCGCCTTGGCCTCCCAAAGTGCTGGGATTACAGGTGTGAGCCACAGCACCTGGCCTGGGCAGCAGTCTTGACAGAATAAACTCTGATGATGGTGGGATATAGGTAGAGAAAATTGATTACTTAATCTGAGACAGTTATCTTACCCTGTTAACCCTGGGGAATCTACAAGCAGCAAAGGGAGCTTACATAGTTTACATTATTTGCTACAGTCAGGCTGTGCAAGCTGGAAAATAACATTCTTTTGGCTTAAATTTATTAATTCAGTTAGGTTGCAAGGGGTATCTCTCCCCTGCTACCCGGAAGTTCTCATAGACTGTTATCTGTTTTTTTTGTTTTGTTTTGTTTTGTTTTTTTGAGACAGAGCCTCCCTCCGTTGCCCAGGCCGGAGTGCAGTGACACGACCCCGGCTCACTGCAACCTCACCTTCTGGGCTCAAGCGATTCTCCTGCCTCAGCCTCTCAAGTAGCTGGAATTATAGGTGCCTGCCATCACACCCGGCTAATTTTTGTATTTTTAGTAGAGACAAGATTTCACCATTTTGGCCAGGCTGGTCTTGAACTACTGGCTCAAGAGATCCACCCACCTTGGCCTCCCAAAGTGCTAGGATGACAGGCGTGAGCCACTGCACCTGGCCAACTGTCATCTTATATGGGTAATACATACCAGGAAGGGGAATAATTTCTTAGTAAATGCATTTTGTTTAATAGATAAAAACATGATGTTCAAGAGAGGGGCGGTAAAAAGGTTGAGATCTAATAATCTGGTCCAAGCACCTCACTTTAGACACGATAAAACTGAGGCCAGAGAAAGGAAGAAATGTGTTCAAAACCATAAAGACAGGCAGTAGCATAGCCAAAATAGAATGTCTCACCCAGGTTTCTTGTTTGACCAGACAACCTTCCCAGTTCAAAATTCTAGTTTCTGATAAAAGGCAGAGGAATGAGTCAAAAAGCCAAGGAGAATAATCTCCTGTTAAATTAGCTTTAGAGCTATTGATGGTCTGGTTGGGAGGTGATAGGCCAGGCTACTTCTCTGCTGAGAGGAGTTATTTTTCTGCTGGAGAGTTATTTCTGTAACTTGTATTAAAAACCTTTAACATATGTATGTATCCTGATCCCGAAATTCCATTTCTTGGAATTTATTGTAAGGACATAATCAGAATGAGCGCAATGATGTATATACATTGATGTTTATTGCAGCATCATTTTCAATTTTTAAAATATAGGCCAGGCGTAGTGGCACATGCCTGTAATCCCAGCACTTTGGGAGGCCGAGGCAGGCAGATCACGAGGTCAAGAGACTGAGACCATCCTGGCCAACATGGTGAAACCCCATCTCTACTAAAAATGCAAAAATTAGCTGGGCGTGGTGGCGCGTGCCTGTGGTCCCACCTACTTGGGAGGCTGAGGCAGGAGAATTGCTTGAACCCGGGAGGCGGAGGTTGCAGTGAGCCAAGATCAGGCCACTGCACTCTAGCCTGGTGACATAGCAAGACTCCATCTCAAATAAATAAATAAATAAATAATAACATAAAATATAAATATATTGACCCCGCACAGTGGCTTACACCTGTAATCCCAGCACTTTGGGAAGCTGAGGCAGGCAGATCATTTGAGGTCAGGAGTTTGAGACCAGCCTGGTCTACATGGTAAAACCCCATCTCTACTAAAAATATGAAAATTAGCTGGGCGTGGTGGTGGGCACCTGTAATCCCAGCTACTCGGGAGGCTGAGGTAGGAGAATCACTTGATTCCAGGAGGCAGAGGTTGCAGTGAGCCGAGATTGGGCCACTGCACTGTCCAGCCTGGGCGATAGAGCAAGAGTCAGTCTCAAAATAAATAAATAAATATAAATATAAACAATTTTAAATGTTAGTTACAGAAAACTAAAATATAAATTAATATGAGTAGAACTATAATGAAACTCAGTGATCCTTTTCCTACCAGTCCCTGCCCACTAGCTTAACTTCCCAGAACGTCAACTATACTACCTATATACTTTTTCTGATATCTACTTTCATATCTCTTAATCATGTACTGATACACTATTTTTTATTCCTCTTCTTTTATTTTTATTTATATTTAATTTGTTTTTATTATTATTATTTTTGAGACAGAGTCTCACTTTGTTGCCCACGCTGGAGTGCAGTGGCACAATCTCAGCTCAGGGCAACCTCCACCTTCCAGGTTCAAGTGATTTTCCTGCCTCAGCCTCCAAAGTACCTGGAATTATAGGCATGCCCCACCACGCCCGGCTAATTTTGTATTTGTAGTAGAGACGGGATTTCACCATATTGGCCAGGCTGTTCTCGAACTCCTGACCTCAGGTGATCTGCCTGCCTTGGCCTCCCAAAGTGCCCAGCCTTCTTCTTTTTAGAAACAGGACCTTACTCTGTCATCCATGCTGGATGGAATATCATGGCGTAATCCTGGCTCACTGCAGCCTCAACCTCCTGGGCTCAAGTGATTCTCCCTCTGCAGCCTCCTGAGTAGCTGGAACTATATGCACACACCATCATGCCCAGCTAATTTTTAAATTTTTGTGTAGAGGGTGGGGAGGGGAGGGGGGTATGGATCTCACTATTTTGCCCAGGCTGGTCTTGAACTCCTGACCTCATGAGATCCTCCAGCCTTGGCCTCCCAAACTGCTAAGATTATAGGCATGAGCCATTGTTTCCCAGCCATGATTTCTAAACTACAGACATTATTCATTGACTTCTTAAGGTAAGTGAGAATTTAGCTCGTTACACACACCACTCCCTCTTCCTCTTTTCATTTTCCCAGTATCACAATTGTTCAATAAATCAGTAATCAATATTTGCATTATTATGGTTTCATAAGCATTATTTACTTCTGTGCCAGTGAGTATACTCTGCAATTTAGTTTTTGTCCTATTGTATTTTCCTACAGGTATTGCTTCACTTTTAAATTTGCTTAGTTTCCCTTATTCATACGCTCAGCTTTCCTTATGTGTTCCACGATACACTGTATGCCTATCAACACTATTTTTCAACTGATCAAATCAATTCCATTTCCCCGTCCCCCACCGACATCTCTATTCCATAGCCCGGTACTACCACATTCTACAGTAAGAGCTAGATGTTTAGGTCTGCGACAAGATATTACCACTGGACTTCTTTTCACCATTTTCTTGTGTTGTGTCTTCTGCTTCCTTGATCTTATTTCATTCTCTTCATAGGATTATTCCCTTATTTTACTGGAGCACATCTCCCAGTTGCTTCTCTATTGAAGAGGGTTTCTAAGGTAAATCTACTGAATCTTTATAAGCTGAAAATGTTTTGGCCAGGTGCAGGGGCTCACACCTGTAATCCCAGCACTTTGGGGAGCTGAAGCAGGCAGATTATGAGCTCAGGAGTTCAAGACTAGGCTGGGCAACATGGCAAAACCGTGTCTCTACTTAAAAAAAAAAAAAAAAATTAGCCAGGTATAGTGGTGCATACTGTAGTCCCAGCTACTGAGGAGGCTGAGGTGGGAGGATCACTTGAGCCCAGGAGGTGGAGGTTGTGATGAGTCAAGATCCACTGTACTTCACTCCACTGCACTCCAACCTGGACATCAGAGTGAGACCTTGACTTAAAAAAAAAAAAAAAAAGAAAAAGAAAGAAAGAAAATGTCTTAATTCTATTCTCACACTTAATAGTATGGCTAGTTGAAGAAAGTTAGATTGATCCGCCCGTTTTTCCCCGCTCAGTGTTTGAAAAGGTTTGTTTCGATTGTCTTTCAGCTTTCAATGTTACATTCTGCTTTCAGAATGTCATCTGTTTTCTCTCTCTGGAGACTTAGAGAGGTTTTTTTTTTAATATCTTGTAGTTTGAAATTTTTAGACGATGTGCCTTAGGCTGTAGAGATGGGGTCTCACTATGATTCCAGGCTTTTAAAATTCATATGCTGGGCCCATTGGCAGGCTCTTTCAATCTGGAAACAATTTATCTTAACAAAAAAGTATATAAAATATCAATTGTGCACAAATTTCTTCACACAAAAATATTAATAATACGGCTTGATTTCCTTAAACTTTTCTATATTAAATTATAAAGCTTTCCAGAGTTTCAAGATGTAGACTAGAAAAGGAAACATTTATTGAGATTACAAATGACCCAAGATGCCGAAAGGAAAGAAAGCCAAGGGAAAGAAGGTGGCTCCGGCCCCTGCTGTCGTGAAAAAGCAGGAGGCCAAGAAAGTGGTGAATCCCCTGTTTGAGAAAAGACCTAAGAATTTTGGCATTGGACAGGACATCCAGCCCAAAAGAGACCTCACCCGCTTTGTGAAATGGCCTCGCTATATCAGGTTGCAGCGGCAGAGAGCCATCCTCTATAAGCGGCTGAAAGTGCCTCCTGCTATTAACCAGTTCACCCAGGCCCTGGACCGCCAAACAGCTACTCAGCTGCTTAAGCTGGCCCACAAGTACAGACCAGAGACAAAACAAGAGAAGAAGCAGAGGCTGTTGGCCCGGGCCGAGAAGAAAGCTGCTGGCAAAGGGGATGTCCCCACTAAAAGACCACCTGTCCTTCGAGCAGGAGTTAACACCGTCACCACCTTGGTGGAGAACAAGAAGGCTCAGCTGGTGGTGATTGCACATGACGTAGATCCCATCGAGACCAAAGACATACCGAAAACTCTTTAAAATTATTATATTGTGGCTCATGCCTGTAATCCTAGCACCTTGGGAGGTCAAGGTGGGCAGATCATGAGGTCAGGAGATCAAGGCCATCCTGGCTAACATGGTAAAACACCGTCTCTATTAAAAATACAAAAAATTAGCAAGGTGTGGTGGTGGGGGCCTGTAGTCCCAGCTACTTGGGAGGCTTGAACCTGGGAGGCGTGAACCTGGGAGGCAGAGGTTGCAGTAAGCCGAGATTGTGCCACTGCACTCCAGCCTGGGGGACAGAGCGAGACTCCATCTCAAAAAATAAAAAAATTATATTGATGAGTCACTAACTTCAAGTGGAGTTATAACACAATGATACCACAGTCCATGTCAAACACACTCATTTCCTAATTTTTCTTTTTCTCACATTCTCATCATGTTAATTAATTAATTGATTTTGCATTTCTTTGGTTCTTGAGATGTGTACATGTCTTTTTTTCCAAATTCTTAAAACCATTTAATTTGATGAGATCCTATAATATATTAATATCTTCCATTTAAAATGTTTTGAGTTTTAAAGATTGGAACTTGGAGGAATCTTAGAATCTTGCATTCTTACATATTCCCAGAGTGAAACAATTCCTTTGAATATTTGATACCTCAGTTAATTTTGAATTATCTCATAGATTTTGTCTGACTTGCACTTATAGCCTAAATGATCATTCTAACTTTTTTTTTTTTTTTTTTTGAGATGGAATCTCACTCTGTCGCCTAGGCTGGAGTGCAATGGCACAATCTTGGCTCATTGCAATCTCCACCTCCCAGGCTCGAGTGATTCTCCTGCCTCAGCCTTCCAAGTAGCTGGGACTACAGGCACCCGCCACCATGCCCGGCTAATTTTTGTATTTTTAGTAGAGATGGGGTTTCACCATGTTAGCCAGGCTGGTCTCGATCTCCTGACCTCGTGATCCGCCCATCTCGGCCTCCCAAAGTGCTGGGATTACAGGTGTGAGCCATTGTGCCCGGCCCATTCTACTAACTTTTGAGCAGTAGGATTCTCTGGGGGAGTATAAAAAGGCTCATGAGATCAAATCTGGATGATAAAGTCAGAAGGTTATGGAGAAAAGACTAGATTTCCCTAGTAACAAATTTTCTCCACGTATTGGTAACAATAGCAGTTAGGACATCATAATACTAGTATTGTTTATTAACAACCATTCTGAGATGTGTCTAAATCCCCTTGTTGTACTTTACAGTGCTTCCCTATTCAAACCTGTTCACTGAATACATACTAAGGGAAGGCTTTCCTATTTATTGTGGTCCTCGTACTGGATAGAAAGTCTTGACTGCCAGTTGTCCGGGTTCTTGGCACATTGAACAAAGAATAGAACAAAATGCAGAAACAAAGCAGCAAAAGCACAAAGTAATGAAAGCACAGATTTATTGAAGTGAAAGTACACTCCACAGAGTTGGAGACCACTGGAGCAAGAGCCCTGATTGTAATGTTCTTTGGGATTTTTATTGAATTAAAAGAGCGTGGTAACACCCCTAAGCACCCTTTAGAGACCTCTGATTCATATATGTTACATCCTACACAAATGAAGACTTCTGCCCAGGACCAGTCAGAGGGAGGATTCTGCCCAGGACCCATCAGAGGCATCCTGCCTGTGATGTATATGCAAATGAAGGTTTCAGAATAGGCCAATTACAGACATTCCTGTTCAGGATGTAGGGGAGGAGAGGTTCAGAAAGTGGGGGACATTTGGTCCCTCATAACTTTGTCGTGGAAAGGTGGGGGTTTTTCTCTTAGTCCAGTTCCAAGAAGAGAGCCATGGGTTGGCCTTAGGCTTCCTGTCTCCAGACCCTATTCTCCCACCTCAGTCCTACAATGTGCCTGGCAATAGGCTAGACATCAACAGACATGATCTTACTGAATCTTCCCAGGAACTTACAAGACAGGTGTCCTTATTCCTACTTTACAGATGAGGAAACTGAAGTTAAGAGAACAGCTAACTTGCCCAGCTCACCCAAGGAAGCACTGTGCTAAGTATGCATGCGGTAAGAGAAACAGGTTCTTACCCTGGGAATTTTTACAATCTAGTGAAAAGACAGACACACAAATGACTAAATAGAGAACAAAGAAAATAAGTAGAAAGGTAAAGGGACAAATAAAATGCCCAGAGAGCCTATAGGAAGGGAAATTTTATCCTGATTTGGTGAGGGACAGGTGTTTGTGCTGAATCCTAAAGGACAAGTAGGATTTTTTTTTTTTTTTTTTTTTTTTGAGACGGAGTCTTGTTCTGTCACCCAGGCTGGCGTGCAGTGGCGCCATCTCGGCTCACTGTAACCTTCGCCTCCTGAGTTCAAGCGATTCAGGCACCCGCCACCACACCCAGCTAATTTTTGTATTTTTAGTAGAGACCGGGTTTCACCATGTTGGTCAGGCTGGTCTTGAACTCCTGACCTCAGGTGATCCGCCCGCCTCGGCCTCCCAAAGTGCTGGAATTACAGGTGTGAGCCACCATGCCTGGCCCAACAAGTAGGATTTTAGCAGAATGAAAAGGGGTTCCCAGAATGTGGCTTGAGCAAAATCATAGAAGTGTGAAAGTGTATTTTGTGTGTGGAGTACAACAAATGTCATTGTGGTTAGAACACAGAGAAGGCAGAACAAAACGGGGAAATAGGGCCAGATCATGAATGGTCTTGAAGGCCACGTTGTGGAGTGTGGACTTGTTTCTAAAGGCAGAAAAGACATAAGCAGAAATGAGGACAAAAATATTATGCCAATGCCTAATTTAGAGCAATGATCCTCAAGGATTCTGGATTCTGGAGAATCCCTGAGATCTTTTCAGAGGGTTCATGAAGTCAAAACTATTATTATACTAATGATGATAATAATAATAATACATTATTTGCCTTTAAAAATCGTGATAAAGGCTGGGCCATGGTGGCTCACGCCTGTAATCCCAGCACTTTGGGAGGCCGAGGCGGGTGGATCATGAGGTCAGGAGATTGAGACCATCCTGGCTAACACGGTGAAACCCCGCCTCTACTAAAAATACAAAAAATTAGCCAGGCATGGTGGCGGGCGCCTGTAGTCCCAGCTACTGGGGAGGCTGAGGCAGGAGAATGGCGTGAACCCAGGAGGCGGAGCGTGCAGTGAGCCGAGATCCCTCCACAGCACTTCAGCCTGGGCGACAGAGGGAGACTCTGTCTCAAAAAAAAAAAATTGTGATAAAAATAAAAAGTGTACCATCTTTGTACATTGAAAATTTTTAAATTTTATTTATTTATTTTTTAGAGATGGAGTCTTGCTATGTTTACTAGGCTAGAGTACAGTGGAGTCACAGGCGTGATCACAGTGCACTACAGCTCCACACTTCTGGCCTCAAGTGATCTTCCTGCCTCAGCCTCCTACGTAGCTGGGACTACAGACAGTATTTGTTGCCAATAATAAATCCAAGCTTTCACACAAAATTAGAATCTTGGAAAAATTGTATTTGCCATCATGAGGTTGACAGCTTTGAGATACTGAAGGCTTTTATTATATTAATAAGGTTGATTGTGATATTAAGTAATAAGACTTTTTTTTTTTTTGAGACAGAGTCTCGCCCTGCCGCCCAGGCTGGAGTGCAGTGGCCGGATCTCAGCTCACTGCAAGCTCTGCCTTCCGGGTTTATGCCATTCTCCTGCCTCAGCCTCCCAAGTAGCTGGGACTACAGGCGCCTGCCACCTTGCCCGGCTAGTTTTTTGTATTTTTTAGTAGAGATGGGGTTTCACCGTGTTAGCCAAGATGGTCTCCATCTCCTGACCTCGTGATCCGCCCGTCTCGGCCTCCCAAAGTGCTGGGATTACAGGCTTGAGCCACCCCGCCTGGCCACCTTTGTACATTTTTAAATGTATAATTCAGTAGTGTCAAGAATATTCACATTATTGTGCAACAGATCTCTAGAACTTTTTTCATCTTCCAAAACTGAAAATCTATACCCATTAAACAACTCTTCATTTTCCCCCTCCACAAGCCCCTGGCAGCCACAATTCTACTTTATCTTGCTGTGTATTTAACTACTTGGGATACCTTTTAAAGGCAGGCTGTCTGAACCTATTCTGGTTTGGGGCTTCCTTGATACATTTGTGTTTTGTTTTGTTTTGAGACAGAGTCTCACATTGTCACCCAGACTGGAGTGCAGTGGTGTGATCTTGGCTCACTGCAACCTCTGCCTCCCAAGTTCAAGTGATTCTTCTGCCTCTGCCTCCCAAGTAGCTGAGATTACAGGTGCCTGCCACCACAACTGGCACGTTTTAGTATTTTTAGTAGAGATGGGGGTTTCACCATGTGGGTCAGGCTGGTCTCAAACTCCTGACCTCAAGGAATCCACCCGCCTCGGCTTCTCAAAGTGCTGGGATTACAGACGTGAGCCACTGGGCCTGGCCGTTGATAAACTTTTTTTTTTTTAATCTCATATACCCAGCACTTTAGGAGGCCGAGGCACGTGGATCACGAGGTCAGGAGATCGAGACCATCCTGGCTAACATGGTGAAACCCCGTCTCTACTAAAAATACGAAAAATGAGCCGGGTGTGGTGGCGGGCGCCTGTAGTCCAGCTACCCGGGAGGCTGAGACAGGAGAATGGCGTGAACCCGGGAGGCGGAGCTTGCAGTGAGTCAAGATCGCACCACTGCACTCCAGCCTGGGCAACAGAGCGAGACTCTGTCTCAAAAATAAATAAATAAATAAATAAAATAAAATTTAAAAATCTCGTATAATTGGAATCATATGGAAGTTGTCTTTTTGTAACTGGCTTATTTCACTTAGCATAATGTCCTCAAGATTCATCCATGTTGTAGCATGTGTCAGAATTTCCTTTTTAGGCCAGGCACAGTAGCTCATGCCTATAATCCCAGCACTTCAGGAGGCCGAGGCGGGTGGATCACCTGAAGACGGGAGTTCGAGGCCAGCCTGGCTAACATGGCGAAATCCTATCTCTACTAAAAACACAAAAATTAGCAGGACGTGGTGGCAGGTGCCTGTAGTC